AGTATATTCTAATTTTCTAACAACCGATTCCTCGGCAACATTTGATGCTTGAGAAGATTCCTTCCTCTGCAGCCAATTTTCTACCTTCTGTTTTCTTTTTTCGGGTGTTGCTATTGGAACAATTTTTTTTTTTATATAATTTTTATATATTATAAATTAAAAAAAATTAATTATTTTAATGACATATTAAATTATATAAAAAAATAAAATAAAATAATCATCCTAATAACATTTTTCTTTTTATTATTTTGTAGTTTACTATCAATTTTTTATCTTTTGTTTTCTTTCATTATTTTCTTACACCCACCTCTCTCTCTCTCTTAGTGACAATTAAATACGGATGTGGAAGCCAACTACCACTGCTCGTAGTTTAATAGTCATAATTCCTTCTAAAAATAGTGGTATTTAAAAATTTAAAATTTAAGTTTTAATATTCTCATTATTCATCCTTCAATTGTACTAATTTTAAAAAAAAAATTAACAATTTAGAAAAGACAACGTAAATTTCTCACTCGTAACTCTCTTTATTTTAAAATAATAATTATTTTTTAAATTTTAAACTTATCTTAAATTAATGTTTTTTTATTTTTTTAAATAAATAATTTTTTACTTTAACTTTATTATTATTTATTTATTTTAATTAAAAAGAAAAAAAATCAACACAAATAAATAAAAAAGAAAAAAAAATCAAGACATTTTGTTATTAAAAATATCAAAATATCTAATCGCAACAGTTAAATATGTGGGGTATAGTATGAGTTCTAAATTTATTAAATTTATTAAGTGATTATTATTAAATATCTTGATATTTTTTATGCTAAAACATCTTAATTTTTCTTTTTTAATTAATTATTCAATTAAATTTTTTAATCTTATAAATTGTCATTAAATTTTAACTAGAAAAATAAAAAGTGACAATTATGTTAATACAAAAAGATTATTATATATTTTGTTTCAAATAAGCATATTGCTCTTCAATATGAAAAACGTTCTTTTCACTTTGAATTGCCCCCACAAAAAAAAGTCAATTTAAGTAATTAGTGTTATGATTTTTTTACCGAACGCGTTAAAAAATGTGTCTTGCTATAGCGTTTCAAAACTAAAGATTAATTAATGGTTTTATCTTTCAGGT